CGAATGGTTACGTATACTTGCTATGCCATTTTGTAACACTTATTTTTTTATATGAATACATTTTCATTGTTTTTGCATGGTTTGCATGATAATGCACCACTGTAGGAGTTGATTAGAAGGTGATCCTGGAACCAAAAGTCTCCTGTCTTTAGTTGTTTGGTGAGTGTGTGTTTGCGTGTTTGTGTGTTTGCGTGTGTGTGTGTTAGAGAAGAGAGAGAGACTTTGGTAATAAAACCATGGCTAGTTTGCTGGCAGTCATGTTTCACCGTTTCTACTTTTCTCACGTTGCTCTGTAAGGTCTCTGAGGATCAATTCTGTCCAGAAACCAGATTTGTTTTCTGGTCTCAGTGTTTTGTTTTCACGCCACTGTGCTCAAATTGTGTGTCACCACTTTGTGTGAACTGACTATCCACTTGAAAATTTGACTGCGTTTGAAACACTAAATCTGCTGCTTTGTTGGCACATGAATTCAGGGATATAAACCACCTGTGAAGTTCTGCTTCTGCTTGATTAGTATTCAGAGCGAAACTTCAATGCAAAAATAGTGGCTTAAATTTCCAGCACTAAAAAGATAAAAAAGATTCCTACATGAAGGGAGGCACAATATGTCTGTCCCAGTACTCACACTTGTGGTCTTGAAGTAACACAATCTGTTCTTGATGCACATTTCTCCAAAGTTAAGTTTGTAAGTATTTCTAATAACTTTCTGTGCTCAGCTTTTCCAGGGAAAAAACTGACTTTTTGAAGTAATACTGCATAAATTCAGTTTTTAAGAACTTTGATCGCCTGTAGTTTAAAACTTATCAAATGAGAAGAACTACTCATAATGAAGACGAATAGGCTCACTTGTGAATTTACATAATTGACTTTTGATTTTCTAATGTTTTGTTATTAATAACTTTTTCATTGTTATCAAAAAATTGGTCAATGGCGGGTCCTTTGTTTGTTTCTGGGGATTAGCCTAATGTTGGCTAACGCTAGGTTGCTAACACAGACAAATTGCTAGCTAAATATTATCTGGAGTGTATAAGGTAAGCTCGTTCAGGAGGTAATCTTGGTGCTAGGTTGGCTACTCATTTTAAATTGCTTTGTAGCTGATGCCAGATTCATGCAGTGTAGCTAAGTTAGTTATAGTTAACCAGCTATCCTTTAGCTTTCTTGCTAACATTACTGCCATATTCTTCTTTGTGTGGTGGTGTATAGCGTTTTGATAAGGTACCGTCTCAAATCGATCATTCCCAGTCAGTCCATTGGCAGAAATGATCTTTGAATATGACTGTGATCGCTGCATTGTATGGACACTCATAAGGATAAATTCTTGTACAGTTACGATGACAATTTAGCAGTAAACACCACTTAGCAAGCTAGCTAGTCCAGCTATCTCCTGCTCAGACTGTGAGTCTGAGTTTCAGAAGAGCATTGTTGGGTGGTCCATGTCCATGTTCAAATACTAAGCACTACTGTTTGAGTGAAAACTACTGTTAATTAAATCAGTGAAGAATAAAGGGGATTGAGAGCATCGCACTTTACAGGGAATCACAAAAAAACAAACACACACATTCCTACCGAGCATCTAACACAGGAATAATCAAAGGTGAGATCTGGTCTCCGTTTTATTTATATAACACCAATTTTGTTAGGTAAAAAAAGGGTTTGACACATAGGTGCTGAGTGTTAGTGCAAGTTCAATCAGTTGATTGAGTTCAAGACAAAATTGAGTAGCACG